GGGGAGGCAGTATGTTATTATCTAAATGGATATAAGTTAATGAGGAAGTGGAGACCAGCATACTGTCCAGCAGATGAAGAATGGACAATAGTGCACAAAATAGTCATTCCTCCGGTGTATCGACAGGAAGTTCGTAGTCTAGCGCATGATACTCTACTTGCAGGGCACTTAGGAGTTAACAGTCAAAAGTTTCTACCTCATTTCTATTGGCCAGGAGTTCATAATGATGTCAGAAAATTCTGTAGAACATGTCACACTTGTAAGATTGTTGGTAAACCAAATCAGAAGATCGCAAGATATCATTTGCAGCCAATTCCAACACTTGAAGAACCATTAAGCAAGGTTATAATAGATTGTGTTGGACCATTCCCTCGCACACGGACAGGGAATGCCTATTTGTTGACAATAATGTGTGCATCAACACGTTTTCCAGAAGCTATTCCACTGAGGAATATTAAGGCTCCTCTCGTTATCAAGGCTTTGATTAAGTTCTTCACTCTAGTTTGGTTACCAAAGTCCATCCAATCAGATCAGGGGTCTAACTTTATGTCTGAGATATTTTAGCAGATTATGTATGAGTTGGGTATCATTCAGTACAGTTCAAGTGCCTATCATCCCTAGTCTCAAGGTGCTTTTGAGCGATTCCACCAAACTCTGAAGAACATGCTTAAGGCTTATTGTGAAGACAATCAGAAAGACTGGGATGATTGGGTTAAATACAATATTTGCAGCTAGCGAATCTGTGCAGGAATCACTGGGCTTCAGTCCTTTTGATTTGGTGTGTGGACGTACAGTTCAGGTACCATTAAATTTCCTAAAAGAGAAGTGGTTAGATGATGACATGGAAATCAGTTTGCTGGAGTATGATTCCATCTTCAAAGAGCGATTCTAAAGGCTTGTAGCATGGCAAAGCAAAACCTGCAGGGTAGCCAAGAGAAGATGAAAACCTGATATGATATAAAAGAAGGACATGGGGTGTTTGCACCAGGTAATAAAGTCCTCATTCTTTTACCAATACTAGGACACCCACTTAGAGCTAGGTACCATGGCCCTACTTTGTACACAAGAAATTGAGTGACACAGATTATGTCATAGAGATTCCAGATCAGAGAAAGACCAAACGAGTTTGTCATATCAATATGATGAAGACTATGATAGGTGTGCTGAAAGTGTGCCACAGACTGTTAGTGTTAGCATTATAGACACAGTAGAGATAACTGAGTAGGACACATTAACTAGAGATTCTTGTACTAAGGGCAAGGAAGAACATAATGTGAAGCTTAATAACTCTGATGTCTTAAACAATCTGGATGCTAAGTTATCACATGTGACAAGTGAACGGAAGATAGTACTGGAAGAGTTAATTCATGAGTACTCAAATTTATTTCCAGATGTGACATCTAGGACAGATTGCATCTTTCATGATATAGATGTAGGGGATGCAACTCCTGTCAAGCAGCACGTATACGTTAGCTCAACTTAGAAAAGAGATTCAGTACATGTTGGACAATAATATCATCGAATGCAGCAGCAGTGCTTGAGTACCCCATGTATTCTGGTACCAGAAGCTGGGGCCAGCATTCGTCTATGTAATAATTACAAACGTGTCAATGCCCTTTCCAAATCTGACTCTTACCCAATGCCAAGAATATACGATTGTAATGATAGAACAGGAAATGCTAGGTATGTCAGCAAGTTTAATTTATTGAAGGGATACTGGCAGATCCCGTTAACAGATAGCACAAAGCAAGTATCATCTCTAGTCACACCAGAAGGCTTTTTCAGTATAATGTGATGCCTTTTGGAAATGCCCATGCTACCTTTCAAAGACTTATCAACACCATTACAGCAAGTATTGACCATTGTGAGGCATACATTGATGACGTCATTGTGGCTATAGTAAAGTGGGATGATCAGATGAAGACCATGAGAATGTTTTTTGACTCTCTATCCCGTATTCAACTCAATATAAGTTGTCCAACAGTGAATTAGTGAAGGTCACAGTTGTGTATTTAGGACATGTTGTAGGACAAGGTGAAGTAGGCCAAAGTAGAAGCTGTGAACATGTTTCCAGAACCTACAACCAGGAAAGAATTGATGAGATTCTTAGGGAGGGCTGGATGCATCACCGGTTTTGTCAGAACTTTTCTCAAGTAGCTTCATTATTGACCAATCAACTGAAGAAAGACTGCAAATTTATCTGGGAAAAGTCTCAACAACAGACAGGCCTTTGAGAAGATCAAAGCTATTCTGACTAATGCACCTGTGCTGGTTGTGCCGAATAGACCATCCCATATACTACTTCAGCAAAAAAAAAAATATTCATCAGAGAAACTACTCAACAATAGAGAAAGAGACTCTGGCGCTGGTACTAGCTCTACAACACTTGGAAGTGTACCCGAGTACAACGTTTGACACCAATACTTGTGTTCAAAGATCACAATCCACTGATGTTTTTGGAGAAACTAAAGATCAAGAATCAGCGACTTATGCGCTGGAGCATTCAGCTTGAGAACTTTGATCTGGACATTCATCAACACAAGGGAAAAGACAATATATTGGCTGATGCTCTTTCACGTGCAGTGTAAACTGAGGTGACAATATATATATTCACTCTTATGAACTGAAACACATAGCCTGCTATAGTTTCAAATAGTGGAACATGTGTTCCTGAATGACCATGTGTAATCATGATGTGAATGCATATGTGTTTTACAACATTAAATGTTGTACAAATGTTGTCAAATGTTAGCTTTGACGTTTTTCAACATGCAAAACTTCTTTTTAAGTGGGGGAATGTTATGAGAATCAATTATATATGTCCATTACGAATATTATTCTCCTACGTCTCTGGCAAGGCTCGAACCCAATCTATACCATCCGTATTGATGAAGAATATATTAAATATACTTAGTTTTCATGAAATGTATATTCACACCTTTATATATAATTATGTTGCTGTTGTAGAAATTGCCAGTGATTAACACTGACCAATTACACACCTTCCGATGTGTGTATGTATGTAAGCCCTGGTAAACTCACAGCCAAATGAAGGCTGATGTTACGCAATTGTAGCTTGGCTGTTTGTCTCTTGAAGCTAGATGAAGACAAAGTGGTCAGTTCCCAGGTCGGATTAGGTGTGAACTGACGTGCCATGTTGGCGAGATTTGAAACTTTAATTGTATATGCCAGGTCTGCAATATGTGAACTATGGAGTATAATGGATTATGTGAAACATTCAATGGATCTTGTTGATATATATGAATGAATATTTCAGCATAAAGTAAGACTGTTTTTATTGTGATTATTGATACTTGCTCTTGCTGTTTATGTATATTTTTGATTAGAATGCCAGAATGAAATTGTTTTTAAATTGTTGTGTGATCTCCTTGTTATGTATGGAGACTGTATAGTGAGACTGTATAACACTATGATGCATCATCCTGCAACTCTGGCCATATAGTATGTACACTGATGACCCTACTTAACTTAGCTACATAGAACATTCGTGGTATCAAACATGGGACGACTGAGCTGTACAAAATTCGTTATAAGTGACGTCGTGCTTGTTACAGCGCACTGGCTAGACTGGGAAAATTCACAGTTTTAGAAAACATTCCACGACAACTTTAATGTTTATTCAAAATCCAGTTGTGACTCCAACCAGCACCAGCGAGGTTCTGGTGGTGAAGCCGTGTTTGTACGGAAAGGTGACTGGTGTAAAGTTACTCCTATTGGCACCCACTACACAGAAGCCACGTACTGTGCATCAAACAACACATCGGTACTAGCCATGGGTATGTACTTGGGTCAGTGAGTGAGTTGGGTTTAACACCGCTTTTAACAGTATTCCAGACATATCGCGGCGTGTCAGCTTAATGTGGGAGGAGAGTCCATAGTGTACATTACTTCATAAACTCACGAGCACGGGTATGGTGCTGATAACCTAAGAAACATAATCGGGGCGAACCGGGATTCGAACCCACAATCATAGGTTTCTGGCGTGCCCAAATGCCGCAACTCTGCACAGCGAATCGCGGCGCCTTAGACGCCTGGGCCACGCGTGTCCCTGTATGTACTTGGGACTAGACTACCATCAACACATGTCCTCGATAGTGTGTACTATGAAGAAGTGTACTATGTTATGGAACTTTATGATATTCTCTCTCAAGAATACCCAACCTACCTTCGAGGATACTTTAATACTGATATCAGTCATGGTACAAATATGAAATCCAGGGCCAGGTGCCTATTACGACTGCTAAGCGAACGTCACCTTTATTCGGTGGTTGATTCACTTGATGAGTCCAGGTACACTATCCATAGTAAATGTAACAAAGTCAAAAAACATTAATTGTTTATGGCTTTATAGATATTGATTCACTAAGCAGTGTTAATGGATATGTCATAGACACTAGCATTCCATATAACATCTCAGATCACCTACCAATACTTGTTTGTATTCTTCTTCCCGTTATTGTTCGAACTATCATGGAGAGAACTTAAACTGGACTAAAGCAAGTGAAATTGACCTAATACTATATCGATATGAAACAGAAAACTTCTTCCGTGGTACTGAAATGAACAATACTCACTTTGATGCAAAAGTATTGCCGTCACTGGGTTAATAATGGTAAAAACAAAAACGATGCTGCAAATGCAAAATAATGAAAGCAAACCTCCTCTTTCAAATCCTTTTTTCATTTTCTTTCTTATAAATATAATGAGCACAAAAACATCATTATCACTATGCCACGGGCTGGGGCACATTAGAGTATTGTATGTTCATATAGTAGTGAATATTCATGGATAAAGGGAGGGTGACCAGTAACATTCGTGTGTATTTCTTTATTTCTCGAACTTAAATAGTTTTTGAGAAAATTTACCCCACTGAGAATGGGGTGGACTGACGAAAGTAGGGACGGACCAACTCCGTTCCTATAGCCACCGCCCCATTTCATGAAGCTACTCTATAAAATATCACTTTAAATCACACTTACCATCGTGGTTTCGCTAACAGAATCAAAGCTCAAAAGAAACAGCTTTATTGTCACATTTGTGGGGACATCTGAAATATAATTAAAAAAACATAAAGCTTTATTTGCTTTTTAAATATCACGATCTTTATCATGCGCAATTCCGCCTTAGATGTGGTTACCATCAATGTCCGTCACTCGTTTGCTGGCTCCCTACTCTATTTGTACAGGCCATAGTCGTATTGCAGATTGCGGCGTTAAACGCACATACAAACCTTGAGTGAGTGAGTTATAATTTAACGTCGCGTTGCCTTTTTTCAGCCATATAGCGACGAGACAATGTTTTATATATTCACATTTATGCATAGTTATATGTAAACACAAATTTTATCAAACACATTTGGGCATAACAATATCAATCATACAGTTTAAAACATGGGCTATAGGCCACCAATAACCAAAGCTAGGCCACCTCGCTGGGGATCGTGGGGACCTACGGTACCTCAGCTTAATACACCGTATCCCAGCAGGACTTACGTCATCACTGTAGCTATTAGTGGTTGTGCACAGTATAAGCAAATATTATAATATATTCAACAATGAGTTGGCTTAAAAACACTGGTTGATGTCAGTTACATCGATAATGATAGGAATTACGTGTTTCACAGGGAAACAAATATTTTACGGTAAACTTTAACCTCCTGGACAGAGCCTTCAATAATGTCAGTTTAGCATCACATCAAATTTAAAAACAAGCAATGAATTATTCACATACATATTTTAAAATTTATCATACAAACCAATTTCTTTCAAGTAACTGAGAATTTGTTTCAGATTTACTGTTTGATAATGTGAATCCCATACGACTGGACAGTCCACAAAGTCAAGCAATATATGCTTGATGGTGAACCTTTCATCACAAGGGATACACAAGGGTTCGTCCTCATCTGTCTTAAGAAGATTTTCGTGGGCAAACCGACTCTGGCCAATCATGTCTTGACTGACAACCCAAGTAGGTATGACCGATTGTTGGTTTAAATTTATGAAGATTATTGATTCCTACCTGGGTGTCCCACCTTTTTAGCAATTGATCCCGAGTATAACCTTTGATAGTCGGGGTATTTTTTGGTAGTCGGTTTGAAAACGGTTTGTCAAGACCTGCAGCATAGCCTTTTGACTTACCCCTTATGCCTGCATGATTTGGTAGCCAGCAAAAGACAATATCACATTGGCCAGTGGAAAGATCATTATATAGTTTTAATATGTCTATAGTCAGTTCAAATAACGATAGACCAACCACAAAATGAAACAGAAATGTTTTCAGTTGATTCATATTTAACAATCCCTCATTAACATCATAAAAAAACCTAGAAGAATCTGAGTGTGGGAACATTTTCAAATTCAGTTATCTTTACTATGTCGATCAACCAGTATTTTCATAGAAAAATATAAATATTCGATTTTTAAATATTATTCAAGGTTAACTATTATACATATATGTATGAAAAAAGCTACAAATACAGGCTTTATTATGCTATACCTTTCCATATGCTATCTTGTTTTGATTGATAGAAATCAGCAAAAATATGTTTTCAGCTTTCAATAATAGCAATCTTTTTTGTTCCAAGCAGCAAGAAACGGCCATATGCTGACCGAAACATCCCATCAAGTTGACAATACAGCACACACATGCAGTTCACCATCTTCAAATGCCTCAGGTTGTTGGAAGTTCAAACAAGACACGCCACGACATTCGCCATAAAGTACAGTTACATTTGTTTGCACCACACATGCTCCTTTACATTTGCATCTGATTATGGTGATTAGTTCTTTGAGCTGCTGGCATATTTGTCAGCTGTGGAATCATTCATTCATCAAAAAACCCAACCCCATTCTCCTGCAGCAATTTCATGATGTTGGGGGTAAGCTTTGTTGGGTGACGTAAGTCACAGCTGATGTGACCTTCTCATGAAACCGACGGTATCTTAGATCATTTAGATCTTCATCTGGTTAAGTGGTGTAAAGGCACAAGAGAGCATTTTCTCCATTATTATTATCTGTTCTCTGGTTGTATCTTGCACTGGCTTGTCAAACACCTTAGCCTGCTCTGCTGTGAATTCTAGATGTTAGGTTACAACCCAGTATGGCATGAATAAATAACAAATGCTCGGTTACAGTTTTGCCAAGTTTTCTCCTTGTTTCATATATGTCCCATATCTTCATTGGTTCTCTTGAATTTGACTTTGATGAAGAATGAAAGAAAATGTTATGTGATAGGACAATAGGGTGGTATGATGAGACACTTTTATGTGCCTGAAGGCAATACAACGAACCAGGGAACATTTATAAATTCTTTTTTTTATCTTTAATATAGGTCAAAGCTGTTGATATAACTTTGGCCTCAGCAGTGAACACTGAACTATTATCTGGGATTCTTGAGGAGATAATTCTGGATCCAATGACGGTGGCACTTACAACTTTGCCACCATCCTTGGACCCGTCTGTAAAACTGGATCTGTGAGAATTATATTATGATCGTTATTGGTTTTATGCTTGTTGACATACCAAAAGATTAGTTTCAGACTTTTTAGCTGGGTTATGGTGAGGTCTACTTCTGGCTTCACCATCTGCCAGTCGGGAGAACTCAGAAGTCGGGAGGGTGATATAATATTAAGATTTATTTTAGCTGCAGTGATGTGTGGTTGAATTCTGATTCCATGTGATGGAACCAAGTTGGACAGATTTCGAAACAGGTTTTCATATTGAGGTTGCAAAACTACGGTATGCTGAAATTGATTTATTTGATTGCAATGTAGTAATGTATTGCAAGTTTAATTGCGGCGCTGTTCAAGGGAAGGTTCATGAGCCTGCACACACAAACTGTCCACGGGAGAGGTCCCAAAAGCTCCAGGACAGAGTCTTAGGTATTGATGGTGTATTGTGTCTAATTTTTCTAAATTGCTTTTGAAAGCTCGAACCACAGACAATGGAACCATAGTCTAGTTTGACGCGTATTAACGAACTGTACAGGTGAAGGAGGGTTGTCTGATCCCCTCCCCACTCTGAAATTGAAACGACTTTTAAGACCTCTAGAGCCTTAAGGGCACTTGGACATTAGATTTCGATGTGTGGTAAGAATTTGAGATGACGATCAAATATGATCCTCTACTACCTTGATAGGAGATCCATCTTGAAATAAATCTGGATCCTTGTGAGGTTTATATTTATGACAAAATTTGAATACAGTTTGTTTCAGATTTAGAAAATTTAAAGCCATTATCGTAATCTCCCCCTCAATCCAAATTCATGCAAATCTTTTAAAATACCATGTTTCCACGTTGTCATATGCCTTCTTTAGGTCGAAAAAGATCGATACAGTATGTTGTTGACAATGGAATTTAAAATAGATGACTCCAAACGCACCAAATGGTCAACGGAAACCACACTGGATGTCACTGGATGTCACTGGATGTCACATACGCCCTCCCAAGGTCGAAAGAGATCGACACAGCATGCTGTCCTTAGACAATGGAATCTTCAACAAATGATTTTAAACACACCCAATGCTACTTTTGTTTTTTAGGAAACCACACTGGATGTCACTCAGCAGGTTATTGGTCTCCAAGTACCATATCCATAGTCTTAACAAGAGGCCACTAGGGCCTGTATCCCGGATATTTATGCAATAATGACAAAATATACATGTGCATTGTACATTTATATAATACTGAAAATATTTCGTAATTTTGACTCTGTCAGCATTTAAAATTGGTGGATGGTAAATGTGCAAGCATGAACGTGTATTTCTCTAGATACAAATGTAGCAAAAAGATCTGAACCGTTTCCATGGCATGATCCAGGATCTAAGTTTCCAAAGACCAGACTGGACCCCAGGGTCAGCCCCTCCATTTGTACAATTTTGAATCCTCACCACCGGAGAATGCTTCCAACCAAATATGGCTGATATCCATTTCTTAGTTCCAGAGAAGTCGTTCAAAGCAATATAGCCAAATTGCCCCTATTTGGCCCTGCCCCTCAGCCCCTTGGGGGGTCAGCCCCTCAATTTGTACAATTTTTATTCCTCACCACCGGAGAGTGCTTCCAACCAAATGTGGTTCATATCTGTTTCTGAGTTCCAAAAGAGGAAGCCGCTGAAAGCATTGTAGCCAAATTACCCCTATTTGGCCCTGCCCCTTAGCCCCTTGAGGGGTCAGCCCCTCCATTTGTACAATTTTGAATCCTCACCACCGGAGAGTGCTTCCAACCAAATGTGGTTCATATCTGTTTCTGAGTTCCAAAAGAGGAAGCCGCTGAAAGCATTGTAGCCAAATTACCCCTATTTGGCCCTGCCCCTTAGCCCCTTGAGGGGTCAGCAACTCCATTTGATATCTTTCTCTTAGTTCCTGAGAAGAAGTCTCTTAAAGCAATATAGCCAAATTACCCCTATTTGGCCCCGCCCCTTAGCTCCTTGAGGGGTCAGCCCCTCCATTTGTACAATTTTGAATCATCACCACCGGAGAGTGCTTCCAACCAAATGTGGTTGATATCTATTTCTGAGTTCCAGAGAAGAAGTCGTTTAAAGCAATATAGCCCAATTACCCCTATTTGGCCCCGCCCTGTTAGCCCCTTGTGGGGTCAGCCCCACCATTTGTATAATTTTCATTCCCTATCACCTAGAAATGCTTCCAACCAAATGTGGTTGACATCTAATTCATGGTTCCAGAGAAGAAGTCGTTTAAAGCAACATAGCCAAATTACCCCTATTTGGCCCCGCCCCTTTGGGGGTCAGCCCCTCCATTTGTACAATTTTGAATCCTCACCACCGGAGAGTGCTTCCAACCAAATGTGGTTCATATCTGTTTCTGAGTTCCAGAGAAGAAACCGTTTAAAGCAATACAGCCAAACTACTCCTATATGGCCCTGCCTCTCAGCTCCTTGGGGGACAGCCTCAGCATTTGTTCAATTTTGAATCCTCACCACCTAGGGATGCTTCCAGTCAAATTCCGTTAATTTCCAATTAGTGGTTCAGAAGAAGAAGCTGTTTGAATAAATTGTTGACGTACGGACGACGGGCGGACGCCACGGACCAAGT